AAAAAAAAAAGTCAGTCACATACATAACTAAATATAATAAGGTTTCTACTACACATTCTCTCAAATTATTGTAATCATTGTCTATTTCTTTTCTTTTTTTTCTTTTTTCTTTTTTTTTGGGAAGGGGGTGATGAGGGAAACCCGCAGCTACTACTCAGTGATGCAGTAAACTATACTCTTATATAATAGTTCGCAAATTACAAAAAGCTAAGAAAAGTAAGTTGCATTAGGAAAATCTTGTGAAACAGACTTGACTAAAATAATGTTGGCAAAAAATTGAACTTAATTGTGACCATTAGGTCCATCTATTCGGTTACCTTTTCTAGTTTACTCTTTCACTTTTACTACATGATTTAGCAAACAATGATAATATATTTTATCTTGTGAGTTCGAAGAAATTAAAATGTTTGTAAAAAAAAAAAAAAAAAAAATTGAGTGTGAGAATAAACATTAAGACTAGTGATTAGGAGTAAATATAGTATTTTTCATATAATAATAATAATTACGGGGGCAACAGGTTCATATATGATATGGACATGTGTTTAGTGCCAAGTTGCAATCATGCAGGCCAGGACTATGACCCAACATAACTTGTTTTCTGGTTATAAATCTTTGGAAAATCACATGTTGTTTGTTAGTACTTGGCTACATATTATAATTAATAATCGCAATACTTTTGACAAAACCATTAGAAAAAGACTACACAATAAGAAAATTGCATAATTATAATATATCGTATCATACTGTTTTGAATAACAATATGCATTGATCCAATTGGCTTGTAGTCCACTGGTATCGGGTTGCTCCCCTAAGTGGGAGGTGTAAGATTCGAACTTCAGTTGAGGCAAATAATGTGTATATATATGATATCCCCCTTCCTTATAAAAAAAAATAATAATAAAAAATAACAATACGCATTGATCCAATTCATGTTCAATAATATATTGGCTACAAAAAGTAGTCAGTGTTTTTAGTTTTTAAATAATAATAATAAAATCAAAGCATATAATGGTAACCAACGATGTTATAAGTAATGCTAGGGCGATTGCCGATTGATTCATTGGCTTCGAGTATAAGATGAACTGGGGTGACAAAAAGAGTTTCATCCTTTCCTATCAATTAAATTTTCGGAAAAATATTTTCAAAGAATATGTTTGATGGGAATATATAACTTTACAAGGAAAATTAATTAATATGTTTAGTGTTATCGGAAAACATAACAATTAAATCACTTAAAAATTAATTAACATGTGTAATTTGTTTAAACTTTCCTGAGAAAAGTTTTATAATCTATAATATATCACTACTGGAAATTATGGAATTTCCGACCACCTGAAAATGATCTTAAATCAAGTTGATACCAAAAAGTGGTCGGAAATAGCAACAAAGGTTTTTCCGGATACCAAAAGTGGTCGGAACAAGACTTTCGACTTGATTTAAGATCACTTTCAGGTGGTCGGAACAAGGCTTTCGACTTGATTTAAGATCACTTTCAGGTGGTCGAAAATTTCATAATTTCCAGTAGTGTATTCTTACTATAAATAAACATTAAAAATATATAACAAATAATCTAGAGTTTAATAAATTATTACTTGTAAATTAATAAATCATATGTCAAAAATCACCAAATCATCAAATTAATCGAGTACCCAAAAATTAAACTCAAGTTAATCAAGTTATATATAGGTTCGAACCCCGGTGATGGGGGCTTAGATTCTTTGTGCTGAAAATGTTTGAGAAGATATAGAACAGATACTACCTTCTAAAGAATCATGAGTATTTCAAAACAAGTTATATTTAAAGTCCAGGAAAGAACTGAGAACTAATTGCAACCGTCCACGTGTCCAGATTTAACGGATCATATGTAATTTTTTTTTTAAAAGACGTGGTGGCATTTTCGTAAATAACTCGAACTTTGGTACAAGTAACATGTGTTAAAAGTGCAAGTAACTAGTGCAAGAAACTGGTGCAAGTGTACAAGTAAAACGTGCAAGTAAAATCACTTAAAAGTGCAATCATTTTCACTTAATAGTAAAAGTAATTTACCTTTTTAACATTGATGCACCTAATGATAACGTCTTTCACATTGGTGCACTTAATGATAACCTTTGGTTCAACTAATGATAACGTTAGGTGCACTTAATATTGATGTTCAGTATACATTACTTGTTGCATTTTTAATACATTTTACTTGCATTATATGTCTATATGAAACTGTTACTTGCACTTTTAAGTTTTAACACAATTTACTTGCACTTCAAAATTTAATTATTTACAAAATACCACCGCATTTTAAAAAAATAGTATTTCTGATCGGTTAGATCTAGACACGTGGATGGCTGCAGTTGGTTCTTAGTTCTCTCCTGGCATGTGGTTCTCACCTGATTCGTCTCTTATATATATATATATATATATATATATATATATATATATATATATATATACACACATACATACACACACACACACACACACACACACACGCACGCACACACACACACACACAACATCGTTATATAATGAATCATATTGCAAATTAGATTACAGAAAACTTTAACTACGTACCTGGATGTAATTAAATTTATTTGATAAACAATGTGTAATGGTGTCATAAACAATTTTTTATATTTATAATAAACTTTTAACCTGATGTCAAAAAGAATAAATATGTAATTGAATAAATTTTGTAGATTCCTAGTCACCCGAAAAAAGAATCTTATCTCCCCTATGTAGGATTTACTTTCCTTAATATCATGGAATGTAATTTCCATTGACCCAAACTTTCCTAAGTCAAAGATTGCATCAAACGTGAAAATACTTTTCCCAATTTTTGAATTCCCAGGAAAGTTCAAACTTTCCTAGCTACCAAACGCCCTCTTACTGTAAAGTAATATCTGTAAAGGTTTGGTCTTTTGTGGAAATATCAGCTTTTACAAAATTAAATTAAAATGTGATTCTAGAATCTAGGGTTTCTCTCTCCCTAATACCGTTTAGGGTTTTGCATGTCTTTTCTTGCTTTTTCTTGATATGTAAACGTCTTCACGGGAATCTTCTTGCGATTTCTGTGAGATACTGCCCAGACTTGGCTATTCATTTTCTCTCTTCCATTTTTTTCGTGTCGTCTTATTGTTGTTGTTCAATTGGTTTACGATGATGGACCATCCAAAGTATTACGAAGAGGTGTGTTGAGATCAGGTTAGCGGAGGAGGAGGGAGTGTTGTTTGTGCTGGGGCAAGTTGAGGAGACGACGGGGTCAACATAGGTTACGGCGTCTTGACCATTGGTCGGCCACTTCTTGACAGATAAGATGTGTTGAGGCAGGTTGAGGAGACGACGAGGTCAACACAGGTTACGACGTCTTGGCCATTGGTCGGCCACTTCTTGCCAGATAAGATGATCAAATCTAAGATCATGAAACAAGTTCTCGCATTAGTCTAGCATCCCTTGAAGGGGGTCCAGATTGAGGAGATCCAATCGAGGAGGGAGTGTTGTTTGTGCTGGGTAAGTTCAATATATAAATTTTGAATATTAATATTAAATATAATATTATGAAAAAATGAACAGTCAAGATTCGTTAATTGAATTAGATACATAAAATGAAAAAGAAAGAGTAATATATAAAATAATGTACAATAATATACTTTTAGTATATTTGTTTTCGAATACGAATAATGTTTGGAAAAGAAGAGGGCACATGTGGTTTTTGAATACCAATAATTCGGGCCATGTAATTTAGACAAAGACTTGCATCCACCAACCTCAGATTTTGTCGGTCTCTGTGTTAAAGATTCCTTTATTATTTTATTTCACAAATATGCATACACATATCATCTTGTCATTTCGCCTCAATAACAACGTGGTCTGCTTTGTAATATCATATTCTTTACTCTGTTCATAATTGAAAAAAAAAAAAAAAAAACAACTGAAAAGCATTTCACAAATAATATAATACGGAGATAATTTTTTTGAATGGCAATAAAATTCGTAATCACTATCTAATGATGTGTTAGGTAAGTACGATTTAAATTACTAATAAATGGCATATTCTAACCAAGAAAATTGATTCTCATTGAGAGTTGAATTTAAAACATTATAATTATTAAACTAACAATTTAACTAATTTAGCTGGTTGCTATTTAATTTTTGGAAAAATTATACTTTCCGTGTCCCTGAGCTATAAAATAATTATAGAATTCATTCTTAAGTGTTAGTCTTGCTCACTTTTCGTTCCTAAGCTATCATTGGCGTTACACTTTTTGTCTTTTTACTAACAAAATATTAAGAACAAAAAGTGAACACGAAAAGTTAGTTTAGAGACAAAAAGTGAATACGAGAAATTAATAAAAAGATGAAAAATACATCATAAATAATAGCATAAGGGCAAAAAGTAAACAAGACAACATTTAAAAGTACAAATTATATAATTATCTAATAACTTAAAAACGAAAGTGCAACCTTAATTTTTTTCTAAATTATACTCCGTATTTTGTTGACAGTGTGATGATGGACCCAGAAAGATGTCAACTCGTATCGTGGGTTTCACTTTATGAGTTTATGTGGCGCTGCATGCTTATGTCCTCTAAGCTTTAGATTATGGTCATATGTTTATTTGTGAATTTAGTGCCACCTCAAAAAAGACATGGGACTATAATTTATGTCATAATAGAATATTATTCACAATAAAAATTACAGTCATTATCTCAGAATGTAAATCTATTTAGTGATTTTAACTGACAAACGATTACAAGGAGGTAAACCAACTTAGAAGGTCATAGCTGATCGGTTTAAACTAAAAAAATTAACAGATTACTTCTGTGAAAAATTAAACTTGTAATCTTATAATTACCAAGTAAATAAATTGACGAACTTAAGTGGAGTTGCCTCTATATTTAGTAACCTGAATCATTAGAAATTTCATTAGTGCATATATATATATATATAAAATTTATAATTTACATGTGGGGCTGTTCACTACCGTCACGGCTGCTTTACAACTCTCCCAACTACCCCCTCCCTCCCTCTCAAGTCTCAACTGTCGCTTACTCTCTATATAGGCACACCTACCTATACAAGAAATGTAGCTCAAGAACTGCTCTTACCCAGATTCCAAATCGGATTCCTTTTTGTGTGTTTATACTAGAATGTCTGGGTGTGGAGGATTCTCTGGATTCTGAAAGGTCATAACTTCTTTTCCTGCTCAAAACCCCCCCATCAGGTATTCACCTTCCTGTACTACACTGCAATTCACGGGGTTATCGGAATTTTTAGGGCAATTCCCTTTTCAAGTATTTCTTGAAATGAAATCTCTTAAAAGAAGTAAAAAGAAGCTAACTTTATTGCAATTTCTTGATTTATATTCCCATTGAAGTCTTAACTTTCAAATTTGATGTCAATGCGGATGAATGGATGATGAAGCAGAGTATGGGGTTCATTTGTTTCCCTTATTAAATCTTCAGTGGGAAAAAAAATGGAAGATACTCAAAAATTTAGGGATTTACAGGGAAAGTCTAATGGGTGTTTTTTCCCATATTACAGATACTGCTAGTAGCTCATTGCACACAATGGGAGTGATTAAGCTAACCAGTGGAATATCTTCTGGAATTACTGGAAAACAATTTGGTAGGAGAGAAGCTAAGAAAACCTTATTTGTTAAGACCTTTCCATGGAATGCTAATCGGGTTCATCGTCCTGGAACAAGCCTTAGGAAAGGGTTGAGATTTGACGGGATTAAAAATTGTGGGTTACTAAATGATGGACAGGCTCTGGAGTATGAGTTAAGTTCTTCTGAATTGGAGGAGGAGTTTGCTTCAACCAGAGAGAGATTCATCGGTGGATCAAACGAAGGAGCTATGTGAGATTCAGAGCCTACTTAGACTTGATATTTTAAGTTAGTCGTTATGATGTTATTTATGAAAAGCAGAAGAATTACTTGTGTGGAGTTAAATAGGATAAAGTTCTGACTCGTGGTTCTCAGTGCATTGTCAGGTAACTCCATTGAAGAACCATCGGTTGCGAGTGTCCAAACTGAGCTCATAATGCTTTCTTTACCTGCTATTGCTGGACAGGCAATTGAACCTTTGGCACAGCTTATGGAAACAGCTTATATTGGAAGGATGGGTGAGTTATTTTGTTTGTTTTGTGCTTCGCTATAAACCTTTTGCACCCATTTTACTGTAATATGGTAAAATGTTGAAGCGAATTTGCAAGGTTCCCACTTTATGCAGGGCAAGACGAAAACAAACTTAATCTTGTGTTTATAGATGTTAATTCTGGGATCTAACCTGTGTGGTCACTTTATGCTGATTAGCTCCTAATTAAACATTTTTAAAGGTGCAATCGAGTTGGCTTCGGCTGGCATTTCAATCTCAATATTTAACATCATATCAAAGGTGTTCAACATCCCTCTCCTAAGTGTGGCAACTTCTTTCGTTGCTGAAGACATCGCTAAATCTGCAGATGGGGATTCTGCTGCAGGTAAGTAATGTTGAGCATATAGCCATTAATGTGCAATTCAACTATCAGCTTAGACTTTTAGTTGAGATGGAGTACATGCTTCAATTTGGTATCAGAGCCAGACCAAAGGGTATGCATATTTGAATAATACCATTCTTTCTATAACAGCGGGAAGGAAACCCCTCCCATCAGTCTCCACTGCCTTGGTGTTATCGTTTGGAATTGGTTTGTTGGAGGCCGCAGCAATGTATTTTGGCTCTGGAGTTTTTATAAGCATGATGGGTATTCCAACAGTAAGTAATACTTCTTTGAAGCAAAAATTTCTATTTACTTTTTATAAATTATCTTGCACTTTTGTTTATTTATTTTTGTCACAAAAATACTCTTTGATAAGTTGGTTTCTTGTGAAAATACTATTTCTATTTTAATGGATGTATCCTTGCAGTCTTCACCCATGCGAATTCCAGCAGAGAATTTTCTTAAACTTAGAGCACTTGGTGCTCCGGCTGTTGTACTTTATCTAGCCATCCAAGGCATTTTCCGCGGTTTTAAGGATACAAGGACCCCTGTATTATGTTTAGGCAAGTTCTCTATATCATTGGCTGTCATTATTAAAGAAATTCTTTAAAACCTGTACCCCTGGCTCTGATACCACTTGTTAGGATCAAACGCTTACCACTACGCTAAAAGCTACAGCCAGTAGCGAAGGTGCAACTTTATTTCTTTATACCGTCACATTTTCAAGAGGCAGAGTGCTGGACTTGACCCTTTAGGCTTCCGCCCAACAATCCCTTAGCCACCTGGTGCTGGACTTGGCCCTTCACCGGCCCAACAAAAAGGCTGGGAAGCTATCTTGCCGGTCATTTCTGCTTAAGGAACTTGCTAAGTCGTGCTGTATATGGACAAAACAATCCTGAATATAAGTAGTCATTTCTTCAATTTACTGGAAACGAATAATTCCTCAGTATCCTCTAAGTGCTTTATGGTATCCTAACTTATACAATTTGGACTATGTTGCAGGGTTAGGAAATCTTGCAGCGGTATTTTTCTTTCCTATCTTTATGTATATTTGTCGACTTGGCATAGCTGGTGCGGCTATTTCAACCGTTGCCTCACAGTAAGTCCCTTAACAGCTTGGTTCACATATTAATATATTATAACTAATATCATTTATGCAACTCTGATGTTTTAAAATGCAGATACATTGTAGCCATTTTGATGTTATGGTATCTTAGTAAGAAGACGGTGTTGTTGCTTCCAAGCATGAAAACCATGGATTTTGGAGCCTACTTAAAATCTGGTAAGTTTTTGTTTTTAGTTGTTTCCATATTAGCTACTAAAACTTGCTGATAATTACTTGCCGCTTTCCGTTTGACTATTGTTCCTGTTAGGTGGTTTCCTCCTCGGGAGAACCCTGGCCGCTGTTTTGACAGTGACTTTGAGCACATCAATGGCAGCTCGTCTAGGAGCAATTCCCATGGCCGCTCACCAGATATGCTTGCAGGTCTGGTTGTCTGCATCGCTTCTGGCAGATGCTCAAGCTGCATCTTGTCAGGTAAGCCTTTAAGTTTCTAAAAAACGGCTAATAAATTTCTCGAGATGAATAAATATGCATAAGTCGAAGAATTACTTTTTGCAATTTCTGAAACGCATAGAAGAGATTTCATCAAACTCTTTTGCAATTTCGTTCCATCTCATCTAAATAACGTCTGATATAACATATTTGCAAGGCGATTTGAAGTGTTTACTCTTCTTTTTGATCCATCTTGCAGGCTCTCATTGCGGGTTCATTCGCCAAACGGGATTTCACGAGACTCCGAGTCATTACCCAAGTGGCATTGAAGGTGACTTGAATCTTCTATCGTGCTCTCTGACCTTAGTTTGATCCTCGTGTTTTTCTCGTATACTAATGTGGTAATTGTTTCTGTTTTTAGTCGGGATTGTTTACTGGCGTTTTCTTAGCGATTGCATTGGGACTGTCCTTTCCTTCTCTCGCAAAGTTGTTCACCAATGATGCCCAAGTGCTAGATATTGCTCTATCTGGTCTACTGGTCTGTTATCGATTATATTTTGAGCTTTTGCTCTTATTTGTATTTATTTATCCGTTTTGGCTTCTGATATGAATTATTTCTTTCAGTTTGTCAGTGCCAGCCAGCCTATTAATGCTCTCGCTTACATTTTTGATGGGCTTCACTACGGTGTTTCAGACTTCCCATATGCGGCTTCTTCCATGGTAAATAACCTCTACAAAGAGCTCTCGCCAAATTATACCTGTTAAGAGTCCCACATTGAAAAAAAAATAAGACAGAACATATGGATTATAAGGTCATGGGTTAGACTAGCTAATTGATTCGATTCAGTCTTTTTGTGTGATTTGGCTCATGTGCATTATAGCCCAGTTGAATGACCTTGACCCAATTGTTTGTAGATGATAGTCGGGGTTATTGCATCAGCATTCTTGCTTTATGCACCGCCAATCATTGGTCTCCCCGCGGTTTGGTCTGGATTGACTATTTTCATGGGTTTGCGTACAATTACTGGATTCATGAGGTAACTACTAACTACTACACATCATCAGATTATGTTATTTTTGCACTGCTTAACAACCCTTTATTGGTTAAACTTTTTGTAAACTTCAAAGTTCAGACACTTTGTATATATATATAAACCTGCATTCTGGTGCTCAACTTGACAACACCGATGTTTAACACCGAAAAAAACTTATGTTCCTGTCAGATTGTCTGCAAAAGACGGCCCGTGGTGGTTCTTACAGGATTCACAAAAGGAAGAGGTATGTTGATACAAACCGCTGTGGTCTCCATTGGTGAACTCTTAATCTCTTAGCGTGTTTTGCTTTTTTCCAAGTTATCGCCTTATCGGTAGACTTCGCCATACGAACTGTCTGTTAATCTGTTATGTTGTCGTCCTACGAACCTGTGGGCTTCTATCGCGGTGTAGTTGAAGCCAATGTTTCGAAGTTTTTTTCGTCGAATGTTGAAGTTTGTGTTTGGTTTCTGCTATACAGATTGAGATATGACACGAGACAAAGATGAGTTCTGGTGGTACACTTGAAATGAGCATTTTGGTTGGCTTTTTAGTTTTGGCAAAAAAATGTATCCATAGAACATCAAATTTTAGATAGTTGTAGCATGTCCAAGGAGCCAACCAATCCATGGCATTTTATGTTCATATTAGTATTTGTAATATTAATAATTTGTGGTTGAAAATAATACTCTGTACTCGATTTTGAGTATAACTTATTTCTACCCGATATTTAGGACATGGGTCACACTTTTCGGGTCGGGTTAATATAAAAATATAATAATATAGTAAAATTGTACTATTAATAAGAAGGCAAAAATTTGTGTGAGACTGTTTCACTGTGAGTTGGGTCGGATCAAAATGAAAATGTAATATTTATACGTACAAATGTAATACTATTTAGGAATAAAGTGAATATATATACATAGGGTTGCATTCAAATACAAACCCCCTTAAAATACAAACTTGAGCTCATGTATACATTAATATACTTACGCACATAGGGCGCACTGCCAACAATTTCTGAGATTAGCTCGCGCATACATTAACATACTTGCACACAACGCATAGGAGGAAAAATCACAACCATCCATTAAAGCTCGTGCACACATTAACATACTTACATGCACACTGGGCACACTGCCAACAATATCTGGGGTTAGCTTGTGCACACATTAACATACTTACATGCACATAGTTTGTATTTTAAGGGGGATTATATATATATATATATATATATATATATATATATATATATATATATATATATATATAGGGAAGGGATCAGGTGTATTTGTGGCTTCCCGTGCGGTTGATTAATGTGCGTGAGTTTTGTGCTTAATGTGCCTGAAATTTGTACTTAATGTGCATGAGTGCGTAATGTTAATGTGCGTGAGTTTTGTACTTAATGTGCCTGAGTATTGTGCTTAATGTGCGTGAGGTTTGTGCTGAGGTTGTAGAATGGTATAATTAATTATGTTATATGTACTATATTAATTGGATAATTACTTATGTTGTGTGGATTGTACTGATTTTTTAAACTTACAAATTTAGGTTGTCTAATAATAGGATAATTACTTATGTTATGTGGACTTAACTGATTTTTTAACTTACAAATTTAGGTTGTCTAATAATTATATAATTACTTATGTTATGTGGACTATAGTTTTAAATTTTATTTTATAATATATATATATACCATAATGTACTTTTATTATGGCAATAATGTAAGTTTTGTTTGCTTATATATATCTTAGAGAATTTAGAAAATTCATCAACAACAAATATTGATGTTCAAGGTACAGACCAAAGTACTGTAACTATTTTGACTCCAACATTTGATGTGGTAGATAGCATTAACCAATAGATGAATCATCATAATCTGGCTGAGGGTAGGATCGACTTGCTTGAGTTGTGATTCTTTTTGTAAGTCAGATTCAAATGTAGATCGATATGCTAGCGAATTTGCACATTCCAGAATTCTTGAATGGTCTGCTATGTTCTGGAGTACCCATGCATGTCAATGATCACAATTGTAAGTTCACTTGTGATTTCTTCTTAAAATTTGCTACACACACATACACACATTTGTAGTATTAATCTTCACATCCATGATAATGAGTATCAATGGAGGAATTGAAGAGACTCACCAGATGAGACGAAGAGCATGAAGGTGAATGTAACAATAAGAGCGTAGTTTGTAGCCATTTTTCTTTACTTATTAGCTAGTGTCTGATCTTGATCTCCTAAAATAATAATAATAATAATAATAATAATAATAATAATAATAATAATAATAATAATAATAATAATAATAATATATGGTTTTAAGTTTTATTGCTTCTTTGATTTGCCTTCACCTATGCCTATATATACCTAGCTAAGCCAAAATGTAAATTAATCTCACATACTACGAATTAATTAAACCAAGTTAATTCTCTTAGCTTAATTAATAAATACAGTTTAATTATTATGAAACATTTAATTGGTTCAATTCTTTGCACCTTAATTTTAAACAAAAACGGTGAGATGCCCCCTCTAGATATACGCTCTATGTTAGACAGTTTTTATTAAATGTAATTATTATGACTAAAAGTAATTTTGTATGTTATTTAATTCGTTAATGACTAGAAACTTATCATATACTTACTGATCAAGCTAGTTATCATAGTTAGCTACTAATTAATACAATTCATTAATTCCTAATTACCAACAAAAAGTTAACTAGGGTTTATTTGTGTCTTTTTTTTTTTTTTTTTTTTTTTTTAAAAACAATGTTTTTATGTTTTTCTATAATCTAGACCAAGCATATTCTTGTACAATGCAAAGTATAATCTTTATCATTAAAGAGACAATAATTGATATATACATATATAGTCCTATACAATATTAGTGAATTATTTAATGTCACTTTATATTTAAAAAATTAAATAAATAATTCATTTTTTATTTCACTTCTTAAAACCTGTTGGCATCATGTCAATTATTGTTCTCCGTTTTTTTTTTTTTTTTTTTTTTTTTTTGCATAAATAAATAAAATCAAATAAATCTCTATTGGATCCTACTCGAATAGTTTTCTTAAAAACATCACTGTGTACACATGCGTTTTATGTGTTCTTCGTACTTTAATCTATATAATTAAATATCGGAAAGGTACAACTTAAATGTCCTTTACAATATGATCTATTAGCTATTGCATGGACAATACTCCGTAACATTTTTTATTTTGCGATCGAAAGACCCTACAAATTAAAGGAAGCTGTTACAAACTAACTCTCCAAGACGAAGCGCCACATAATAACATTTGAAAATTGAATCTTGAAATTGTTTGGAATTGTTTAGTGTGCTACCCCTTCTCTAATTTAGAGAAAAATAAATATTTCACTAATTAATTATATGCAAGTATTTGACCTCAGACGGAAAAGTGCAACTATTGAAGTGAATCTCTTGTTAGACCGTCTTACAGATCCTTATATGTGAGACAGATCATCATGATGAAAATTTAATAGCAAATATAATACTAATGAAAAAAGTGTAATACTTTTATGAAAAAAAATAATATTTTTTAAATCAAAATGTAATATTTAGGGTTGAATAGTTCATTATGAGAAAAAAAATGTAATATTAATTGTGGATAAATTGTTTAATTGTTATTTATGAGAGAAAGTGTAATACTTATGATGAAAAAATGTGATATTTTGATGAAAATTATTTTCTATCCTTTTTTCTCTCTCCTCTCTCCTACTTGGACGGCCAAAAACCTCAAAAAGCCTCGTACTGATAAGGTTGCTCTAAGCATTTCTCCATTTCCTCACATCATACACTTTACTTGATCAACTGCATTGTATGAAAGAGCTGTTTCGGTTTGACACATCAAGAGACCATATCTCAAAGGGCCAAGTGATAGATTCCTCCTTTAGAGTCCCTTTCGAAGTATCCATAAAAAAATATTAAAAAAAAATCGTTATGACATCAACCTAGAAATGCAACGTACTCTGATCTTACAAAAATATGACATCTTAATTGGAATGATTCTTCAAAATACATAATATCTTAATAGTTTTTGTTGATTAAGTTGAGAAACTCAATTGTCAATCAAACTATAACATAAGAGTGTAAAGATATATGAATTTAATTTTATTGCGGTACAAATATTTGAAAACTTGTAAACTAAGGGCGTGTATTCAATCATGACTTTTGTAGAGTTTTAAAAACTTTTATGAACTTTAAAAGTTTAGATGTATTCAATTTAAACTTTTAGAGAGTCTTTAAAAGTTAGGCGGTATTCAATCAAGACTTTAAAAGAGTCTTTAAAAGTCGTGGACTTTTACAGCACGTTTGGTTCACGGAATGAATTTTGAGGTAATAGGAATGTTATTCCATAAGGAATGGAATAGGCAAGGAATAGAATAAGAATTGTATTCTATTGTTTGGTTCGCATAAGGAATAGACTTTAGGAATTATATTACAGTGTTTGGTTGATTTAAGGAATAGAAATGAAATATGTTTTAAAAGACATAAATACCCTTATAAAAATATGTGATGGTGGCGATGGTGGTGGTGGTGGTGGCGGTGGTGGTGGTGGCGATGGTGGTGATGGTGGTGGTGGCAGTGCTGGGGTGGTAGTGGTAGTGGTGGTGGCGATGGTGGTGGCGGTGGTGGTGATGGTGGTGGTGGCGATGGTGGTGGTGGTGCTGGGGTGGTAGTGGTGGCGGTGGCGGTGGCAGTGGTGGGGGCGGCGGTGGTGGTGGGGACGACGACGGCTGTGGCGATGGTGGTGGTGGTGGCAGCAGCGGCTGTGGTGGCAGTGGTGGTGGGGGCGGTGACGGCGGTGATGGTGCTGTGGTGGCAGTGGTGGTGGGGGCGGCGACGGTTGTGGCGGTGGTGGTGGCGGTGGCGGTGGTGCTGCTGGGTGGTGGTTCTGGTGACGGTGGTGGTGGTGGCGGCGATGGTGGTGGCGGTGGTGGTGATGGTGGTGGTGGCGGTTGTGGTGCTGGGGTGGTAGTGGTGGTGGTGGCGGTGGTAGTGGTAGGGGCGGCGGTGGTGATGGTGGTGTTGGCGGCGGTGGTGCTGGGGTGGTAGTGGTGGTGGTGGCGGTGGCGGTGGCGGGGGCGGCGACGGTTATGGCGATGGTGGTGGTGGTGGCGGCGGTGGCGATAGTGGTGGTGGCGATGGTGGCGGCGGCAGTGATGGTGGTGGTGGCGACAACGGTGGTGAAATAGGATAAATTTATATATAGGATAAAAAAATTAGGTTAAAGAAAGGGGTAAAAAAGGAAATAGATTCTAAAATCTATTCCTGAGCGTTCAGTAATAGGCTAATACCACGGGGGGCCCTAGTAATAGCTATTACCTTATTTGAGGTAATAGGCTATTACCAGGAATATTATTCCTGGTAATAGAAATGGTTACCAAACAAAGGAATAGACCTATTACTGGGAATGCTATGCCATTCCCGGCCTATTCCGTGAACCAAACGGGCCATTAAAGAGTCTTTAAAAGTCATGTGGTATTCAAAAAGTTATGAACTTTTGTAGACTTTTTAATTTCAGGACTTTTGTAGACTTTTCCTTCTCAAATATACATAGTTAAAATCCAACCATCAACCCCAAGATTTCAAAATTTTCTTTCTAACAACTCTGAATGTTCTCTCTCTATTTAAACTCTATTTTTTCTCCATATTTAAACTTTATAAACCTATCTAAATTTAATAAAATTATTTTTTTCTTTCATTATCCTATA